CACCCATCCATCCCTCCCTCCACCCCGCCACCCCCCCATCCACATACTATCCATTTATCAGTCCTGCCTGTCTAGCCATTCATCTATCCATCCATCTATCCATTCACCTTGCAGATGTTTATTAAGGGCGTGGTGTATGCCCGGCACATGCCAAGGCCCTGTGGGGACATGATGATACTCAATGGCTATAGAACAATGACAGGGGGGAGAATTCAGCAGCATGAGACAGACATCCTGAGGCAACAGCATTACCAGTAGCTAACCTCAAAATGGAGAGCTGTCAACAGTGGGCCAGGGCAGACTGGGAGGCTTCCTGGAGGAGGCGGCTTTGAGCTGGGCTCTTAAGTAGGGGTGGTTCGGGGGTTGGCACAGGGCAGGAACATACAGTTAATTCATTGAAAGCAGCAGGGTGCTTGGCATGGAGGGGTGAGTGATGGTTAAGAGGGGGTCAGGGCTGGCTGGAACCTGGAGGGTGCAACTTGGCCTCTCCCACTCTGACTGGATCCCCAGGCCAGGGCCCTTCCCCTTGCAGGAGAAGGTGTGAGCCTGGGGGAGAGGCCTCACCCTCCCTCTGCCCCCTGCCCTCTGCCCCCTCCCCAGGTGCGGCTGACCCTCCTGCAGCTGAAAGGCCTAGAGGACAGCTATGAAGGCAGTGTGATCTTTCCAACTGGGAAGTTCACCATCAAACCCTTGGGGTTCCTGTAAGTGCCACCCCCAGAGTGGACAGGGTAGGGGAAAGGACCACACACCTCATAGTCAGACAGACCTGGGTTCCAGTACCGGCTCTGCCACTTCCTGGCTACATGGTCTTGTGGTCTTGGACCGGTCACCTCACCTCCCAGAGCCTCAGCTTCCTCCTCTGTAAAATGGGTCTATCATAGCGCTCAGAGCAGGCTTGGTAACCTGCCGGCGCCTCGGCCCTCCTCAGCCTGTTGCAGATCTCTGGGGACCTGGAAGACTTAGAGCTGGCCCTGAATAAGACCAAGACCAAGCACACTACGGGCTCTGGCTCCTGCTCTGCCCTCATCAAGCTGCTGCCCGGCCAAACTGACCTCCTGGTCGCCCACAACACCTGGAACTCGTACCAAAACATGCTGCGTGTCATCAAGAAGTACTGGTTTCAGTTCCGGGTAGGCCCCCAAGGTGGGTAGATGGGTGTATCTGTGTGTAAGCGTGGATGTGCAAGGGGAACGTGCTAGGCTATGTGGGCCTTGGCCCAAGACACACCTCGGTCACTGGAGGGCCATTCTAAGACCTCATCTTATTTTTAACATGTTAGTTTTCATTTCCCGAGGTGTATCAGTTAGCTAGTGCCGCATAACATATCACCCTCACATTTACAACAACCAAAGCTTAAAACACAACCATTCGTCTTTGCTCACGTGTCTACTGGTCAGCTGGGTAGCTTTGTTGTCCTGGGCCAGGCCTGGCTGACCTAGGCTGGATCCCTGATGCGTCTGCAGTCAGCTGGGGCGAGTTGGCTGACCTAATACGGCCTCATTCCCATGCCTGGGAGTTGGCTGTTGGCCGGGGTGATGGGCAGCCGGGCTTTGTGGTCTGTCACCCTCCAGCAGGCTAGCGCAGGCTTGTTCACATGACACCTGGGCAGGGAAGTGTGGAAGGCCTCCTGAGGGCTGGATGAAAATGGCACAGCATTCTGATGCTCAGAGCAAGTCAGGGCTCCAGCTCAGATTCGAGAGGTGGGGAACTAGACACCACCATTTGATGTAAGGAACTGCAGAGTCACACTGCAATGGTGTGAAGGCAAGCATGGGAAGAATTACAGCCATTTTTGCAAACAATCAGCTATGCAAGGAGTGCACGAATGCACTCTTCCCGTCAAATGTGAAAGCTTTGCGGCTAAGGCTCAGGTCCCCCATTGTGCCTGCCCCCACCCCTAACCCCAGCGTTAGCCCCAGAGGGAGCCATTGCCAAATGTTCTTGGCCAAACTTAAAAACATAATGCTGCCAGGGGCTGGCGAGAGGGTGGGTAAGTGTATACCCTCACTCAATGCTAATGGGAGCAAGAGTTGGCACAGCCACTTAGAAGAGGGACCCTGCCGGCATCTAATAAACTTCAAAACCCCGCTCCTGTGACCCAGCAGTTCTCCGGCTCAGATCTGTCTCTGTAGAAACGTTTCCATTTCTGCACAGGGAGCGTGTACAAGGATGTCACCGGCAGGAGTGGTTTGGAGACAACCTAATGCCCACTAATTTAACCCTAAGTAAACTTCTAAACTGACATTTCTATAGAAAAGTGTGCACATCATAAGCCTGTGGCTGGAATTTGTGCACGGCGAACACACCCATGTGTGGCACGGGTTGAGAAACAGAATATTCCCAGCCTCCAGAAGCTTCTCTCCTGTTCCTTTCCAGGCACTGTCCCCAGCCCAGCCTCATCCCTGTCCTGATTTCTTACAGCAGAGATTAGGCTTGCGTGATTTTGAATGTTTTATAAATGGAAACATGCTTGTTGGCATCTTCTGTGAGAGTCACCCACACTGTACTGTAGCTTTATTCTCATCCCTATATATCCATTAACATTTCAACATCTTTTTAAGAACCTACATCGTCCTATACGTTTGTTATTGGAAAATACAGCAAAACACGTACACACAGTGAAAGTCACTCGAACACCCTATAACCCGCAAGAGATTATTTTTCTGAGCACTTGGTTATGGTTTTTTTCCTAGACTTTAAAAAAAATGTACCTCAGTTTTCTATTTGTTTTAAATTATTTTAATTATACTCGTAATACATGAGTACATACTCGCTGCCAACAAATTCTAGCAACACAGATGAAGAAATATATCTCCTTTAACACCTTTCTCCTAAATTCCAGACCCCTCCTCAGAGCAAACCACTGTGGCCATTTGGGTTTGGATCCATCTAGAATTTTTTGGATGCAGATATATGGACTTTTTTTTAATTAATAGACTGTATCTCTTAGAAAAGTTTTAGGTTTACAGATGAATTAAGTAAATAGTAGAGTTCCCATATACGCCCCCTCACTTTCCCCTATTACTCACATCTTGCAATAGTGTGATATATTTGTTATAATTAGTGGACCAACTAATCAAGGCATTATGGATGGAAGTCCATAGTTTACATTTGAGTTCACTCTGTGTGTATTAGAGTTTTATGGATTTTGACAAACGCGCCATGACATGTATCCACCTTTACCGTGTTATACAGAATAGTTTCACAGCCCTAAAAAGTTTGCTTTCCAGGTTTTTTAAAAAAACCCATAAATCAGACCCTGCCATATGGATTGTCTGCAACTTTGTACCTTTTACTCAACAGCCAGCCTTGGAGAGTTCTCGCTCTTTGCATGTTCAGTCCACCTTGTAACAGCTGGATATTATACTTAGCTCTTCCCAGTTGAGGATTTAGGCCATTTCCAGGGCTTTTCTGTTTCAAATAGTGCTGCAGCAGGCAGGAGGGCCCCCAGAGATGTTACCTAGTAGAAACACTAGATTAAAAGATGGGCATAATTAACATTTTCATCCCAGACCTTTTTTTTTTTTTTGGATTGATTTTATTAATGGATAGTTTGCATACACATTTCAGAGCGTATAATTTGATGGGTTTGGACAAACATATGCAGTCATGTAAGTGTCATTCAGTAAAGGTAGAGAACACCCCAAAAAGCCCTCTCTGCCTTCTGCAGCTAGTCTCCACTCCCCTCCACAGGCGATCACTGTTCTAATTTCTTTCCCAGTAGGTTAGTTTTGCCTGTTGTAGAACTTCGTATAAACCTGCACTCATTTTAAACATTTCCTGGTTGTCGTTTTATTTTTATTTACTTTATTGAGGTGAAATTCACGTGGCATATAATTAACCATTTTAAAGTGTTAAAGTGGCATTTAAGTCCATTCATGATACTGTGCAACCATCACCCCCATCTAGTTCCAAAACATTTTCATCACCCCCACGAAGGTAACTCTGTACCCTTCAGCGGTCACTGCCATGTCCTCCCCGACCCCCACCCCGGCCCCTGGCAACCACTCATTTCTTTCTGTTTCTGTGGACTTATCTATTCTGGACATTTCATATAAATGGAATCATACAATGGTGTTTTTTATCGTGTCTGGCTTCTTTCACTCAGCATGATGTTTTCAAGACTTACCCACATTATAGCATCTGTCAATGCTTTATTCCTTTTCATGGCTGAATAATATTCCATTGTATAGATAGACCTCAATTTGTTTATCCATTCATCTATTGATGGATATTTGGGTGTTTCCACCTTTTGGCTTTCACACGAATTTTTAATAATTAAAACAAATTGTTTAAGTAATGCATGTTTGCTGTAGAACGTTAGAAAATGTAACAGAGCACAAAGAAGGAATAAAAAATCACTTGTCATCCATTCTGTCCCCAGCCCCCAAAGAACCACTGTGAGTGTAATTTTCCCTCCCAGTTGCAGCTGTTTAGCTATGACTTTGCCCTCTTGTTTTTACTTATTTGTTAGTTATGCAGAAATGGCTCCGGGGGTCCTCACCCCTGCCCCAGAACCCCTTGTACCTGCCAAGTGCTGGTCTGGTTACATGGTACCCTCGATGGTAGGCCTACTGCATGCCTACTGTTGTGCTTTAGACGCTCTTTACCTCCGCAGCCTTGTAAATTAAATCATTGTAACTGCCTTGTGTCGGGGGTGAGGGGTTATTATTCCCATTTTGCAGATAAGGGAACTGAGGCTCAGTTACTTGCTATAGGCCAAACAGTTAGTAAGGGGTGGAGCCGGGATCCTGGCCCGGTCTCCTCCTTCCAAAGCTCATGCTCTTCTGTGACCCAGCAATCCCACTAGTGGGTATTTATCCGAAAGAAATGACATCAGTATCTCGAGTTATTATCTGCACCCCCACAGTCACTGCAGCATTATTCACAATAGCTGAGATATGGAAATAGCCTAAGTGTCCATCAGCGGGTGAATGGATGAAGAAAATACGATAAATATATACGCACACACACACAATGGAATATTAGGTGGAATGGAATAGGAGGTGGTGGATATGTTAAGTAGCTTGATTGTGGCCATCATTCCACAAAGTATACATATATCAAATTATCACATCGCATACCTTAAATATAGACAATTTTTAGTTGTCGGTTATACCTCAGCAAAGCTGGGGGGAATCCCCCCAAAATAAAGGCCATCCTCTTTAGACTTCTGGGTATTGCCCTCTGAATTATCATTTTTACAATAGGTCTTTGCAATTAAAAAAAAAAAGGGGGCGGAAAGCCAAAAAAAGCACTACAAAGGTATGTATGTATTTTGCTACTAGCTCTCTCACACACATACACATGAAATGCCTGGTTTGCTAAATATTGGGTTGTCGGAAAATTTATGACGTATTTTTTTCTATGTTTTTCGTTGCAAAAATGCGTCACGACTTTTCCAACAACCCGATAGAAAGGAAGGCATGGGGGCTTCTTCTGAGGACTGCTGCTCCCCACCTGGAGTCCCCCAAGTCTCGTTAGGCGGGAGCCCCCACCTGGGCTTTTCTGACCAGCACCCCCCGCTACCCCGCACGCTCTCCCCCCACAGAGGACTCTCCCCTGGCTCCCGGCAACAAGTTGGTCTTCTCGTCCTACCCCGGCACTATATTCTCCTGTGATGACTTCTACACCCTGGGCAGTGGGCTGGTGAGTCTCCCTCTCATGTCACCGTCGTTTCTCCCTGAGGCTGCTTTTCTCCCAGCAGCTCTGGGTGGGCAGGTGGGCACAGCCCCCACCGCCATCCCAGGGCCAAGGCGCATTCTCCTGTGGTGTTTGCGACTTGGATCACCGGCCAGGTGGGGGTGGGGTGGGGTGTTGCTAAATGCAGAGCCCCAGGCCCCATCCAGGCCTCCAAAACCTGCAGCCGGCCTGGGACTCTGCAATGTGACAGCTCCTCAGAAGTCACTTGTCATGGGCCCTTATGCAATATCCTTGATCTTGGTGACCTCATTTTGTTCTTCTGTATTTAGGATAAGCTGTCTCTCTCACACACAACCTTGCTCTGAAATACTGCCTTCTCTCTTGCTTTCCACAAAACCCCTCTCACCTGGCCAGGTTTTCTGAATCAATGTTGTTTACCATGTGGTTGTTTTTATCGGTTTTCCTGGCTGGAGGCCAAACTCATTTAGAAATCTGTTCCCTGGCACCCCTCGCAGAGGCAACCAGCCCTGCGATCGCCAGGGCAACACTGTAGAGGAGAAAAAAACATGGCAAAAAAAAAAAAAAAAGCCTCGGCCAGAAGCCACCAATTCCCCGGGGAAAGGAGGGTAGGGTTGGGGAGGGGCTCTTTTCTATTAGTTTTTGAGGGAAGCGTGGGATTTAGTCCCCTTAAGGTGAAAGAGGCATGAGAGGGCCAGGCAGTGGGTGAGGGGACTCCCTTGTTGTCCTCCGGGGTGGGGGATAGTGGGAGTAAAGCTTGGGGAAGAACCTGCAGTGTCCGAGTGGGAAGTTGACCCTCTAGTCCTTAGCTGGTTTTGTTTTCCAGACCCCTTTGGCCGCCTGGGGAGCTGTGAACCCCTCCCCAGAATAATGTTTTTAGAAAGGAAACCAATTATATTGAAATGTGCTTATCAAAATAGGATATACATCAACTTGCACTATATATGGGCTGCTTTATCAGCACATTAAGTAGCAAGATCTGGTGGCAGGTGTGCGACCTACCATCATTTAGCAGTAACGAGGAACATAAACGCTATTTTGAGATGCGTGCAACCCTGTCACATAGTGGGAAAACACCTGTGATTTCTGTTGGTGACAGTCTCAGGTACCTCTGGTACCTCTGTGGTGCGTCACCTGGGTTAACAATGGAAGGAGATGCTAATTTCAGCTTGATGTTAGCGGAGACATCATCCAACATCAAATGTTACATAAAGATGTAACGTTTTTTTCCATCCAAGTCTGCAGACTTCCTGAGTATTGCTCTGGCTTAGAACACCCCCCCCCACCCCCCGCTGTGTGAGAGGAAGCCGCCCTTGGCTTTGGAGGCTTTGGAGGCTTTTGGTGGTCTAAATCCTGGCGATGGCTTTGGATGCTGAGCGCAGCGGGCTGAGCCACAAGGAGGGGACACTGGAGGGAGCAGAAGAAGCTGATGCCGCCTGGGCATCGCTACTCAGAGGCTTGCTCCCAGATTCCTCTTTTAAACATCACATTTATGGCTGCTGCTGTCTTTTAGCCGTTTTCCAGCGTTGTATGAAAAAGGGAGAAGCATGCTAATATCTTGCTGTCGGGGAGCAAGCACTGTTTTAAGAGCTGGGAGTTCGGGGAACGAATCTTGGCCTATCCACTGACCAGCCATGACCTCTGACAAATCTCTTAGCTTCTTCAGGCTTCAGTTTGCCTTTTAGTAAGAAAGGGCATTAATAGTCATGCTGTGTCTTTCCCAGGAGTGCCGTGAGTTTATTGAGATGATGGTAGCCTGCCAGGCTAACAGCCTCAGGCCACCCAACTTTCCCTGTGACACTGCAGGGAAGGGGTGGAAATGGGCTGCTGTCTCTCTGGGGAAAGAGTTAACCAAGTTGGTGGGAGGAGTAGGTCTATAAGAGTGGCACCCTGGGCTCTTCAGGGGCTCTTCCCCGGGGCAGAGCTGGATGCGTGATCATGAATGCCCGTCAGTGCTCATCCAGGGAACCAGTGAGGAACGTGCACGTGAACCAGAACATGAGGCTTTGAAATGGTTAAATAGTCCACGTATGCGCCATGGCTGATGTAGCACTGCCACTTGGTGGCAGCATGCCCCGGTTGTAAGTCAGGGGGCCCTTGAATGAAGCGTCCCCTCGGCTCTCCCACAGGTGACCCTGGAGACCACCATTGGCAACAGGAACCCAGCCCTGTGGAAGTACGTGCAGCCCATGGACTGTGTGATGGAGTGGGTACGCAATATCGTGGCCAACCGCTTAGCCGTGGATGGGGCCACCTGGGCAGATACCTTCCAGAGGTTCAACAGCGGCACGTGAGTTTGCTGCTGGCACTGTGGCCTCCCCACCCAAGAACTGGACCAACCTCCCCCTTAATACTCGGATCCTGGGGGCCCTAATGTGGCATCAAGGCCACATACCACACACGCTCTGCAGAGCCCTTTCATGGATTCTCACTGGAGTCGGAAGGAGCCCTGGAGTCCCCTCCCTTGTTTTATATTAATACATGGGGAAACTGAGGCTCAGGGAAGGAAAGCCCCCTCTTGGAGGCCCCTCAGCCCAGGGAAAGGCCTTCAGAGGAAGGGCAGGAGGAGAATTTGGAACTTAAGAGCTCTGGGGACAGTGGGGAGGGCCGTCGAGGAGGTGGACGTGGGTGGATGAGGGCCCTCTGAACCAGAGACGCTGGCTGGAACTGGACAGTGTAGGGACTTCGAATGTCAGGCAGAATTGATCTCTGTTCTAGTAAGCACTAGGGAGCCATAGAGTCCTCTGGAGCAGGAAAACAGCACGATGAGAGGAGAGTTTGAGGACATCTGGTCAAGCTGCAGTTTCAGCGTGACAATCAGATGGCCAGACGCCCCCAGGCCACCCCGCCCCATGATTTCTAGCTGTGTGGAGCACGGGAGGCAGGGGAAGGCTGGGGCGGTCGTCCCAGGGTCTGTTCAGGCCTCCTTCTTGGGCTCGGCAGGTACAACAACCAGTGGATGATTGTGGACTACAAGGCATTCGTCCCCGGCGGGTCCAGCCCTGGGAGCGGGGTGCTCACCATCCTGGAGCAGATCCCGTGAGTACCCCACCTGGCCAAAGGGGACAGGGTGCTCCAGGCAGAGGGAACCGCCCAGGGTGAGGCCCAGCAAGGGGCCATGCTGGAAACGCGTGGGAAGGGAAAACCCAAGGAAGGCACCATCGGAAGAGAAGGCAGCCCTGACTGGGGCAAAAGACTCAGGACGTAATCTACCTCCAGGCAGTGGGGAGCCATGGGGGTCCTTGAGCCCCTTTTCTCACCACCCTTGCCCCCTCTCTTTCTGCCCCAGGGGCATGGTGGTAGTGGCCGACAAGACCTCGGAACTCTACCAGAAGACCTACTGGGCCAGCTATAACATACCGTACGTGTTCCTGCCTTCCCCACCCCCCACCCGCCCTATACCTGCCCCACCCCTTCCTCAGGCGAGGGGCCCTTCCCAGGTGACTTTAAACCCACAGCCAAGAAATGCATCCCACCCGCTTCTCTGGCCAGGAAAGCCCTGGCGGTTTGGGGATATAGTCGTGGGGCTTGGGGTCAGCATCCGAATGACCTCGCAGTCTGCACCCACAGCAGGGTGATGGGGGGTGGCCCGTGTCTGGCGCTGACCCCTGCCACGGCTCCCCAGCTGCTCTGCTGTCACCTCTTGACGCGGACTGCGCTTGACCTGGGTTATCTCATTTGAGCCTTACAGCCAGCACACATGCTAGCCGCAGCTCCTGTTCCCATGTCACAGATGATGAGACAGGCCTTGAGAGAGGGCCTAACCGCCCCCCCCCCGCCCCCATAGCTGGTCAGTGATAAAGTCAGCATTTGAAGCCGTGTCTCTTGGACCCCCAGAGCCCAAGCTTGGCCACGCCACCAAGCCATCCCCCAGCACAAACAAAAGACATTATTATTGCCATCCTGACTGTCGTGGCGGTTAGCGCTAATGTTCTGACGTGACCACGCACAGCCAGGTGAGGTCAGTGGAGGTCGTGAGTGACGGCCCTCATCCTGCAGGTCCTTTGAGACTGTGTTCAACGCCAGTGGGCTGCAGGCCCTGGTGGCGCAGTATGGGGACTGGTTCTCCTACGACGGGAGCCCCCGGGCCCAGATCTTCCGGCGGAACCAGTCGCTGGTGCATGACATGGACTCCATGATCCAGCTTATGAGGTGTGTGGGGGGCGGCAAGCCTGGAGCCACTTGGAGCGCTCTGTGCGCTTCAGTGTCACTCATTTAAACCTCAGAGCAAGCCCGGGGCCGGCAGGAGAGGGTGACAGTGTGACAGCCGGGCCAGCAGAGCCCAGGCCTCGCTCAGTTTGAGTCCTGTTGATCCTCATGTCACAGGTGGGGACGCTGAACGGCTGCTGAGTGACCACCCTGTACTGGGCACTGTGTTTGGTACCGGAGACACAGGCACAAAACATGTCCCCCGCTGTCCTCGGGGATGGGGGCGCTGTGTTCCGTGGAGATGTAGAAATCCATCAAACACTTCACACTGATGGGGGTGGGTAACTAGGACTCTCTGAGTCCCCAGAAATGCTATAAAGGGACATGGCGGGGTCTCTATCCTGATGGGATGGGAGCCCAGAGGCAGCCCCGGAGGGAGAGAGGCCTGAGTGATGAGCATGGGATGATAGGGTGAAGGGGTGAGGGACCCCAGCAGTGGGAGGGACCTGGGCACGTTGGAAGCAGGTGGCCGTGCTGGGGGGCTGTTGCCAGGAGGAGTTTGGTCCCCTCCATGGCCTCCCCTTCCAGGCACGACTGATGGGGCCTCCCTTCCCACATGCAGGTATAACGACTTCCTGCACGACCCCCTGTCACTGTGCAAAGCCTGCGACCCCCAGCCCAACGCGGAGAACGCCATCTCGGCCCGCTCGGACCTCAACCCGGCTAACGGCTCCTACCCTTTCCAGGCCCTGCACCAGCGCTCCCACGGGGGCATCGACGTGAAGGTGCCACCCCGCCCTGGGGCCCCATCGTCGCTGGGGAGAGGATGGGGGCGAAGGCTGGGGTCGGGTCAGAATCAGGCTGTGGTTGGGGTCCGAGTAAGGGTGGGCGCCAGGGCACCCTGGGTGCGGCAGCTTGGAGCCCAGCCTGGGCCGACGCTCAGCAGTCTGCTCTGCCCCGGCTCCCAGGTGACAAGCATGGCGCTGGCCAAGGCGTTGCGTTTTCTGGCAGTCAGTGGCCCCACGTGGGACCAGCTGCCCCCTTTCCAGTGGAGCACCTCCCCCTTCAGTAACCTGCTGCACATGGGCCAGCCCGACCTCTGGAAGTTCTCGCCCATCGAGGTCTGTTGGGACTGAGACGCCACCTGTGCCCTGCTGCCTTCTGCCCCTGCTGACCCAGCAGGACCATCCTCCGGCGGCCGCCATGACCTCCTGCCCACCCCTCTGTGGCCTTTGCCCCCTGCTGTGCCCAAAGCTGGGACCTGGGTCTGCCAGGCTCACTCTTATCTGGGTGTCGCCTCCTGGCGGGGGCATGGAACCCCATGGGGCCCAGAACTGACTCTCTCTCCCCCAAAGTGGGTGAGTGCCACCCTTGTCTCCCTCTGCCTCTGCACCTCAATCTCTCTCATTCTCTCTGTGTTTCTCTCTGTTCTCTTTGTCTGTCTCTCTCTCTCTCTCTCTCTCTCTCTCTCTCTCTCTCCCCCCCCCCACCTTGGGGTCCCCCCCTCATGCTGCCCTTCCTGAGGGGTCAGATTCTGAGGCCTCCAGTGGGGCAGGAGGGGCCTGTTCCTGTCCCCACCTCCCAGCGTCGTTCCTGCCAGTGGCTCTGGAGCTTGTGGGGTTTCAGCCTCCTTGATCTGGGCATTACTTGTGGTTGGCATCTGCACTTGGCATCACTCTTCCCGGCTGCCAGCCCCAACCCCTCTGCTCCCTTGGGAAGCAGCCCCCTGTTTCCCCTTCTGGGCAGCTTCCTCAAGGACAGAAACTTGAAAACAAACAAAAACCAAAGTTTCTGGCGACTTGTGGTTGGAGGGGTCAGGCCCCATGCTCCAGCCTCACCCCCCACCCCCAACCTGGGCCTGCCCCTGGCCTCTGGGCAGTGCCCACAGCTGTACTGCAGTGGGAGCCAAATCGCAGGCTGTGTCGCCATTAAATGAGAGAGGCTGTGGCCCCTGTGCTGTGCTTTTTGGGGCGGTGGGGAGGGCTGGGTCTGTGCCTTTCCTCCTCTCAGGTTTAGGATCTGCACTATCCTCCCTTGCATCTTCCTGTCCATCCTTCTGTCTGTCCATCTACCCATTTATTTGCCAACCCACCCATCCATTGCACATTCATCCATTCTTCTATCCACCCATACATCACCCATACATCCATCTGTCCATCCATCCATTTTCCAATCATCCATTTATCCATCCATCATCCATCCATTTACCCATCTACTCATCCATCCATCCATCCATCCATCCATTTTCCAATCATCTATCCATCCATCCATCCATCTATATCTGTTCATCACTCAATCCATCCATATATTTATTGAGCATCTACTTTGTTCTGGATACTGTTCTAGGACCCTGTTAACCACCAAGACCTTCCCAAGCCCTATTGTGGGATACAGGTCAACACAAAACAGTCACTCCCCGTCTGTTCATACCCAGAAAACTACAATGGAGACAAGACTTGCCCAATACTATGTGCTTGGGGAGAGGAAAGCACACAGCCCTTGAGTCAGAGACCTGGGTTTGAATCCTGTCTCCACCTCTTACTAGCGATGGGGCTTAACCTCTCTGAGCCTCAGTTACCTCATCTGTAAAATGGGGTGATGTGAGCAGCACCTCCTTGGGGCAGGGGTGGGGTAAGGATTGCTGCAGTCATGGCAGTGATACAGCCCCACATGGCTCACACGCTCCACATTCATTCATTAGCAAGTATTATTGAATACTTAGGACATGCCAGGCACTGTTTTAAAGTCCTGTGGATACCTTATAACAAAAGGTACAAAAAAGTCCGCTCTTGTGAAGTTTACACTGGGGAGAGTCAACAACATAAATAAAATAGGTGTGTAAGATGTTGATAAATGCTCTGGAGGAAATAAAGCAAGGATGGGAGGCTCGGGACAGTGGTGGAACTCCTGCAGGGCCATTCTGTAGGAAGGGGCAACTTGAGTCTATTCTTTAGACTGAGTCTGGCCCCCTCTGCTTTCTGGGCGGTGGGGACAGTCATGTAGCCAGGGTCATTCTGAACGGAGTATGGGGGGATCATTGCAAACAGTCCCCCATTGAGACCAGCTGACCCAGCACAGGCAGGACCTACCTTTGCAGAGGGTGTCAGAAAGGCAACTGTGTTCTGCGAGTTTCCCACAATCCTCAGCTCCAAAATGGCAGCTGCAGGCCCATCTGCGGCTTCTGCCCATCCCTGAAGGATGGGCATGGCCAGCTGGTTGGGCCCCAGCCCACAGCACCTTGGCTCCTCTAGTGGGCAGAGGCGTCTGCCTTGCCTCATGGGGGTGGTTCCGTGCCCAATCCAGCAGAACAGTGGAAGCGGGGAGCAATCCTATTCCGAGCAGGTTTTCCTGAACTGGGTACCATTTTAGCCCCTCTATCCCCAGGAGCCATGGGGCAGATGATTTCCTGTTCCTGTCAGCCCTTCCGTCTCGTCCCAGCCCCTGGATGTTTAAAGTGCATGTGGCAATCAGGAGGTAGGCCTGTGGCCAGTGTAGGCTTGGGGTAGATTTTCCACTCTCCCCCACCCTGAAATCTCACAGCTCCTATTTGGTGGGATGGGTGGGGGGCTTTGCAAGCCTGTCCTCATCTGCGTGGTGTCTTGAGGGGTTAGAGTGGTCTCAAACTTCACTTTGAACTTGAGTACCCAATAAAGTGCCTCGGGCTGCTATAGGGGATGTGGGGGTCCCCCTCCTGGACCTCAAGGCAGCCCTGGCAGCTTCTGTGTTTTATATGCTGGCTTCAGCATGTACTCTCCTTGGAAAAGAGGGTTTCATGTTTTTAGAGGCTATATGTGACACTGACTTCAAGTCCACTCTTGCCCTGTCCCTGAGATGATGGTCCAGTGTCAGTTTATGCACCCCCAGAAATGGGGGCTCACTGCTCTGCTTCCAGTGGTTCCGTGATTAAATCATTCTGTTACCAGGAAGGACTTCCTTTCAGCATGAGGTTGGCTTCCTCTGCCTCCTCAGCTGGTTCTGCCCCACTTCCCTCTTGTTCAGCGCCACTTCCCTCACCAGCTTCCCACCTCCTGGCAGGCAAGCCCAGCTGGGGTGGGGGTCTTGAGTTCCAGGAGGGGCCCTAGGGGTTCCCTAGAGTGGGGGTACTCACTGTTGAGAGCAGGTGTGATGGGGTGAAGGAGGGGCGGGAGGAAGACCACGGTGATGGAAAAACTCAAAAGTGTCTTTGTTTCATAAATATATATTTTTCACTGAAAAAGTTTTCACATTAGAAAAGTGAGTTAAGGGTAAGGTCAGGGTGGGGCTTCTTGGAGGAAGGGCAAGTTGGTTCCTCCACCCCGGACTGTGGCTCTGTCAACCTTCCCAGGGAGAAAGCCTGGGTGGGACCCCTCGCTCAGAGGAGGTGCGTCCTGCTGTGATCCTGGTCCCTCCCACCACGCTGCTCTGGGGACCTGGTGTGTTACATGTGGGTGGTTTTCCCCCTGGCAGGCGAGGCTAAGGAGGTGACAGAGGCGTCACGCAGATAGCAGACGTTCAATTCACAGCCTCTCTGGCTGCTGACCTGCCTCCATCTGGGAGCCACAGCCCTTCCACACAGTGGGCTTGTGGGAAAGAGAAAGTACCGGCCGGCCCGGCCACAGGCTCACAGCCCGACACAAGCATAATATGTACAGTGAGGGGCTGGATAAAACTCCAGCCCCTCCAGGGGTCTCCCAGGTCGGGGAGGGGGGCGAGTGGGGGAGAGTCCTCACTTGGGCAGCCCGTTCTTCATGCCCAGCTGTTTCTTGAGGGCCTGCAGCTGGGCGAGGCTGATGTTGCTGCCCCCACAGACAATGACCACGAGGGACGACAGGGGGACCGGGAGCTTTCCCTCTCCTTGCAGCTTCTGAACCACGCCGCTGTAGACAGTGGCCAGGGCTGCTCCACAGGCAGGCTCCACCAGGATCTTCTCATCATCTGCCAAAGGAGGGGGACGGTAAGGGCAGGGCCTGAGTGCCACAGGGTGCAAGGGAACTGCGCAGCTGTTGGTAAAGCTAGGGGTAAGGAGCCAATCTGCTCTCAGCCCCAGCCACAGACTCAGGTCCTGGACCAAACCTTCCATCATTACCCTCAATTGACCTTTCAAGCCCTGAGCCAGGGCTAGGTGTTACCATGAGTGCTAACACTTATAAAATGATTGTGATTTCCTGAGTACTGTGTTGAGAGGGATTCTGAGGCATCATCTGAGCAAGAGTATCATGGTTGATTAGCCAACCTGACTGCCAGTACAGGAGAATTAAGTGGCATCATAAATGCTACCTGTGTGTGCGCACTATCCCTGTCCTAGGCTGAACCCAGAAAGAGTCCAGCGTAGTTACAGACCCACTTTTGAGTCCATCACTGAGACCTATACTTCCTTTTTTTACCCTGGCTGCCAGGAAGCTCAGAATCAATATTTTCAATACTCAATTACTGTTCCCTGCTGTCATGGTTATCAGGCTGACTTCTTCATTTGTGCCACTGGTCTTCCTATTTTGTATCGTATGAGTCTGCATTGTATTATC